ACATCAAGTGTAGGTGGTTAAAGCGCAGGTGTCAGATAACATCATGGGAAAGTGGAGATAGGTTCAGCGCAGTTGTCATCCTCTTTTAAGCGCAGTGGTCTTCCAGCAGGAAGGCAACATCAGGGGCAGCGGAGGATGAGGACCGCAGGTACGTGGCAGGCAAGCTAGGCGCGTGTCCCTCCGCACATCATCTAAAATCACGGCACCGGGCTGCAAGCCGCTCGTACGTCTTCTTGCCCCAGGCTTGCCGCACCGGCGTCGCGACATGGTGCATCGTACCGAGGTTAGGCATGTGGCAACACATGTCTGGCCTTTGTGATCGGACCCATGTCACGCGCAGAAGTCGGAAATGGATGGATCAGTCGAACGCGTCCATGGAACTCTTCGGATGGATCCGAGCAGCCTACAGAACGACCACGCAGGAAGCATCGACGGGGCGTATCTTACCAACCTAGAGGCCGGTACGGGTGTTGTGGACACGGGAGTGGCACCTCGCAGCCACACGACGTATCGGTACTAACCGCGCGGCTAGGGAGCGGGAGAATTACCCTTCTGTCTACAGGGAGCAAGCAATGCGTGCGAGGCACCGGGGGGTGCACCAGGGCAAAATCGCATGGAGGGAGACCCTAAGGACCGGATGGGAGAAACGTCCCTCGTGCGACCTGGTTGCCAGGCCCGTAGCAGCATGAGGAAACGCTGTCCGGGTAGTCCGCACGGGATCTTCACTTGTATTCAGGCCGCATCTTCGGTCCGTAGGCGTCTGTAGGACACTCGATTAGAACTGTCCGCGCAGTTCCAGGTAACCGTCTTCGGCTGACCATCCAGGAGTACGGTACTACCATCATTGTGTGGCAAGTTTGTTGCAAGTTGCGTCAACTGTTGTCCTTGTCTTACGCTAGCCTTCTTGTGATCGCAAATTACTGTCGCAAGGCCAACTTCGCTTATTCGCAGATGACATCCGCCGCGAGAGGCTGTGGCCAGGGCCTTCTCACGGCATTACACCTACTCACTTTCCCCATTTTAGATTTGGGTTAGGCAGTAACCACCTCCTGCCACAGCGATCAATCATGTCAACTATCAGCGCATGCAAAGCGAATCTAACGAAAGCGCTCACTGCACTCGAAGTTAACTAAAGGTAAGATACCGCAATATCTTATCGATGCATTCATAACAGAACTACCGCCATCTACCGACGAGCGTCAGCTTCTTGACAGCCGTCAAGAGGCCCTTCGGACGCATTTGTCGAATATGCGCGCAGCCGTTCGCATACTGCGAGAAAGACAACAAGCTTTTTTAGCTTACGTAAGCAGTTCAGCGGACCAGGAAGCAGACAATGAAGCATATCAGGCATACATGCAGAGTCCCGGGTCGAAGACGTAGCAGTCGCAGCGGAGAACCTCATTCAGGTGCTCCATACGAACTTGGAAGAAGTTTGCGCACGTCTCGAAAACCTACGCACGAGAACGACAGTCAGTCAACCGCAGGAAAACATCCCGATCGAAGAAGACTCGACTACAGAGACGACTCCTCTTACCAATACTAACCAGCAAGCGCAGTTGTCAGTTCCTCAGCTTTCGCCGAGGGACACTCCACCTTACGGCACAGCAGATTCCCACTCCGCCACCATTGTTAACTCGCAGGTTCCGCATCAGTCGACGGTCCAGCTGGGGAAGCTCACTCTTGAGCCCTTCTCCGGAGACATCACGCAGTTCCAGAGATTCTGGCGTGCCTTCGAGGTAGCAATTCACGACGACGTTACCATAAGTACGACGTACAAGTTCCTCTACTTGCAAAGCCTCCTCAAAGGCGAAGCGCAGATTGTGTTGCAAGATCTGGACCCGACGAGTGCAACTACTACGAGTTAGTACGCGCACTCAAGAAGAGATACGACAGGCCGCATAAGACCCGTGCAACACTGCACAGGCAACTTCAACAACTTTCTACGGCTAGTAGTTCAGGCTCAGACTTGCGCAACACATGGTTCCGCATCTCAGGCATCCTTAGAGGCCTTCGCAAGTTTGAAGATTTTCGCACTGTCTTGCCGATCCTCGACTTAGTCCGCAGCAAGTTCCCTTCGGACATCCAGCA